CTAAAGTTCATGTGATGAGAATTTTTTTTTCCTATTAGCTGCTTTAATCATACTTGTTAATGGAGGCAGGTAAGGCTCTGTTTGACATCTGTCAGTTCCCTGGGACAGGAGTGTTGTTTGACCTCTGCTTGGTTGGAGGCTTCAAACTGCCGGGCTGAGAATCGGGTTTCTGCACCCCAGAAAAGAATGTCTCTGGGTAGGAGGCACCCTATCTGACCTCCTCGTACGTTCTCCTGTACCCCAGTGCCCCCCATCTTAGGCTCACATGTGCAAATCTCAGCTCTGTGTGTAACCTTTAGCCGCTTTTCACTAAGGATGTTTTTCTCTTGATTCTTTCCCATCGCACTGTCTGCGGTTCTTTGCAGCACCATCAGCACCAGGCTGCCCAGGCTCTCCATCTGGCCAGTCCGCAGCAGCAGTCCGCCATTTACCACGCAGGGCTCGCGCCAACCCCGCCTTCCATGACACCTGCCTCTAATACGCAGTCGCCACAGAATAGTTTCCCCACAGCACAACAGACCGTCTTTACGATCCATCCTTCTCACGTCCAGCCGGCATATACCAACCCACCCCACATGGCCCACGTACCTCAGGTAAACCAGCTTTAGCCAACTCTCTGTGAAGACCGAGTAGAATGTGAAGGTTATCAGATAAGCAGCTAAGAGCCAGATGCCGTCCCAGCTAGGAAACCCTGTGTGTGATGCCATTTGCCTGTCTCCCTTTCCCTGCTCAAATACACGTGATCTGGCCCTAAGTGAATGTTTGTGTGGTTCTGTAATGGGATCAGTGAAGTTGCTGATTGGTCAGTCCTTTAACGTTTCCCAACTAAGACCTTAAAAATATCTTTGACTCTGGAATGCAACCCAGCCCTTCTTTCCTTTCTGTGTCTGCTTTGCTATGTCTATATAGCTTCATTACTCTATATATGTGTGCTTATATATACACCCTTTGACACGTACACGTGGAAGCCTGGCAGGGATGATGGGCCTTCGTAGTTTCTCGGCTCTCCGAGGTGACTACCCTGGGCCTGTCAGCTTGAATGTTAGTCACACGAGTTCCAGAGAAAATCTGTCCAATTGTTTTCCTTGGTTATTCACACATCTGCTTTGACCTTATGTTGTACTTATTGAGAGGGCTTGGCCTTTTGTACATTGGCACAGTGTAACTAGAAGCTGGAAGCACTCAGGTGTCCCATTTTCCTCAAAGAGCAGCCCTGGAAGCACTTTGGAGCTCACCTCCAGTGTACCCTTCTAACGGTGGAAAGGTGTGGTTGCCATCACAGTGGTTGCTGTCTGCATCAGCTGCCGACAGAGGTCCAATGCAATCCAGGGCCAAGTTGGATTGTCTTAATGAGGAGAAGGAGCGGCACTGAAGTTGGGCTCTAATGCTGACCTTGAGGCCCTCCTTGGGGCTGTTCAGGGTGAATTGGCTGTATGAGATGTCTTTTTCTGCTACTTGCATAACAGAACTCTCTTAGGTGGGTCTAAATGAGACCTGCCACACTGAGTTCCATTTCCTGTCAATCGTGCGCCAGTGAGGCTCTGGCAAGGTGTGGGCTAGAGATGCAGCTCAGGTGGATCTGTCTCTCTGAAGGCTGCCTTGTAATTAGGGTTCCACAGCTCTGGGAAGTTTGGGCGTCCTCACCCTGCAAAGATTAAGTTCTGTGGTGTAGTGCACTGCAGTGGATTTGTTTCTGATAGTGGGGAGGGGAGCTGGTTTGGTCAGTGTGGGCCAGTGTGGTTTGGTGGAATCAGTCTTAAGAGCTGGGGTCCTGTAGATGTCTAGCAGAGGCTGGTGGCTAAGTAGGTATGTGAACTTACATGTAAATTGGGGTCCCTAAAACCTCACTGTGTTTTTGTGCTGAAAGAGCAAAAAGGTTAACACAGGGAAGCTCAGATGTGCCTTGGGCCCACTTGAAGATGTAAGAGTAAAAACAGCATGTCCTTCAAGGCTTATGGTCTAGAAGAGCGCACAGTGTGGGAGGCAGGAAACGAGCTCTTCCTGGCCCTGCAAAACCCCTGCAGAGCTGGGATCCAGCTATTTGGACTGACTATAAAATCACCTTTCCAACTTGACAGTGAGACCAGGTCGAACTCACTATCACTTGGTACAGGGACACTGGGCTGGCCTAGGTGATTTCTGATTACTCCTTCCCATCTCACTGGAGCCATTAACTGCAACCTCCTCCTCTTCCTGCTCCATCAGCATATCTTTTAGAGGGTCAAGAGTCTCTTTTTCCTGCCTGGTGAGCAGGCCAGAAGCAGAGGGAGAAGGGCAAATGAGGAGAGGTCTACGTAACCCATACAATGGAATTTTACAGTCCCTGCTTATATTGTAGTAATCTGCTTTCCTATTTGAAAGGCAAGTTATCTGCAAAACTACCTCAGGTCCCACACGGAAGCCAGATTCTGAAGCATCATCGCATCTTGTGTCATTATTAAGTTGAGAAAGCTGTCCTTGGATCAGGGGTCTGACCTTTGTGAAGCCCTGCTCCATACATAGAATATAATGATCAGAAAGTTGATGCCCAGGACGTTGCAGCCCTGACTTTCACCCAGGCTCACTTGGTGCCTGCTCCCCTAACCTTGCAGGATGTGCCAAAAGGTGAAACATGTCTGTAGGTCAGTTGAGGATCTACTAGGGCATGTCCCCAGACAAGAGAACTGGGCCCTGAGGCCCTCGCCCCGTCTTGAGAATCCCAGCCCAGTGAAAGGAACACAGTTGACATGTTGTTTAAGCTGGAGATGTTGCCTGTATGCGTAAAAGAGCTCTCTGTTTCAGGCTCATGTACAGTCAGGAATGGTTCCTTCTCATCCAACTGCCCATGCGCCAATGATGCTAATGACGACACAGCCACCCGGCGGTCCCCAGGCCGCCCTCGCTCAAAGTGCACTACAGCCCATTCCAGTCTCGACAACAGCGCATTTCCCCTATATGACGCACCCTTCAGGTGAGGCGTGTGTGTGCAGGGGCCGCCAGGGCACCCCAAAGCATTCTGCTCGCACAGGTCAAATGGCAGGCAGGGTCAGCGCTTCAAGCCCCGAATTTGAGAACTTAGCAAGACCCATCCACAAGTGCTGTACAGGAGGGACCGTGACGATCAGTTCAGAGTCAGGGAGGGCATGAGGCTTCCAGGAGCCGAGTCTGTGTGTGTTTGATGGTATACAGGATTTGGCTTGATGAGAACCAGCAGCATTTTGTGTAGCTGATGCATGCCTAGGACTCACTTGGCCTTCCTTGTTATGATAGGCTGGACAGGGCAGTGTTTTCCTTCCTGAGTCCCAACAGTCTGACACGTGGGGGGGTTATTACCACGGCAGAGTGGTCGTAGCTGTGGAGAAGACGACTGCTGAGCAAGTGCTGTGTACGGATTGGCTTTGAGTGTAGTATCAGCTCCAGCCTATGCCCTGCCAGGGGGAGAGCGCCCGTGATCATGCTCTACTACTTGATGGCTGCCATGGTGGTATTTCATAGTCTGACCTGTTCCTCTGAAAGCAACACTGGTGCTTGGCTAACATTTGGGGAGGGGGTATGTTAAGGCCTTTTTCCTATCCCACTGAGCAACAAGTCTTCTGGGAATTTTATCTGAAGTGGTTTTACGTCTGACTGGTTTGTTTCTACCCACCCACCCACTCACCCCTCCCCCTCTTGGTGCAGATGGGAGCCGGGGAAAGTGAACTAAATTTTGAGTCTTGTTCAGGCAGCACAAGGATAGTTTACAGTCGTGTGCTGCATAGACACTAGGCTCGTGTGCGGTGTTGCCAGTTTTCTGTTTAAATATTCACTTTTCTTTTTTACAGTACAAGCCCACCACCAACAGCAGTTGTAAGGCTGCCCTGGAGGAACCGAAAGGCCAAATTCCCTCCTCCCTTCTACTGCTTCTACCAACTGGAAGCACAGAAAACTAGAATTTCATTTATTTTGTTTTTAAAAATATATGTTGATTTCTTGTAACATCCAATAGGAACGTTAACAGTTCACTTGCAGTGGAAGATATTTGGACTGAGTAGAGGCATTTAGGAACTTGTGGGCTATTCCATAATTCCATACGCTGTTTCAAAGTCCCGCAAGTACCCCAGCTCTGCTTGCCGAAACTGGAAGTTATTTATTTTTTAATGACCCTTGAAAGTCATGAACACATCAGCTAGCAACAGAAGTAACAAGAGTGATTCTTGCTGCTATTACTGCAAAAAAAAAAAAAAAAAAAAAAAAAAAAAATCAAGACTCGGAACACCCTTTTACTAAACTTGACAAAGGTTCGGTAAATTCTTACCGTCAAACTGACGGATTATTATTTATAAATCAAGTTTGATGAGGTGATCACTGTCTACAGTGGTCAGCTTTTAAGTTAAGGGAAAAACTTTTACTTTGTAGATAATATAAAATAAAAACTTAAAAAAAATTAAAAAATAAAAAAAGTTTTAAAAACTGATAAAGTTAGTGTGTGTTTGTATAAGCTACTTCTATTTTAGGATACTTAGTATCACGGCAGGCGGGCGGAGTGTGCTTTTTTAATATCCTTGAAGGTATTTGTCAAATTATTTTTCTTCTTCACCTTTAGTTCTGGTTCAAGGTATCTCTAGAAAAAGACAAGACTGAGATATTCTTTGGTGGATTAGAGGTCTGCTTCAGGAGGAGGAAGGCTGGCCAAGGTTGGGCAGCACTGAAATCCCACGTCCTCAGGCTGACACCGAATCTGTAAGCTTCCTTTTTAATATCTCCTGAACCAAAATGCTTGTCATTAGTTGTCCCAATTCAGGCATCTGTTTTACCAGTAGGGGGCAGGAGACACTTTTTTTTTTTTTTTTTTAAACTGCAATAAATCCAAAGGGCAGAAAGGCTGTACAGAGATTATGAAGCAGCTTACTGACAGACTCACAGGCGCTCGTTCATGTTCCCGCACCGTGGGAGGGCGACAAAGGGAAAGCAAGTGTTTCAGCAGGGTAAGGATTGTTAGAGACCATAGTCTTAACAGAGCCTTTAAATATTGTGGCAAAAAATCAAGATTCTGAAAACTTTTAATTCACATATAGCAATTTGTACATTATAGCAAAATTTGCATTATTTAAGAATAAGTTACTTGTACAGTACATAAACAATACATAAAAATTTGCCAAATACCTTCTGCCTATAACGGTACAAGATGAATCCACTTTTTGTTATCACAATGTGCTGCGTATTCCAACTAAACACTGGATGTCAGATGTGTCCTTGTTAAGACGCAGTGGATAAGATACTACCAAGTTCCTCTAGCCTGTGGGAGATGTTAGAGCTAACATGACATTTGCAATAAGAGATTTAGCCCTGAATAAAAAGCATGAAGGAATCTCAGGCAACCCTCAGGGAAGAGTTCAAGGCCTTGATTTTAGGTTAAGAAACTGTTATGTAAAAATAGTGTTCTCTGGCCAAAGATTTTAATGATCATTATTCCTTTTTCCTACACGGTCCAGAAATGATCAAAGGCAGAAGATTTATACCAGATAAAGCCATATGGATTGCTGGTCTAAAATTCAAGGCAGGTTAGTTGACTTAATTCTTTGGTGCTGGTGACTTGTTAGTTTGTAAAAGTTTAATAAAGTCAGATGAAGGAAGTGATGGTGCTGGGAGCTGTGAAGCTATACTCGTCTGTAATTAGAGCTAACGGAGGGATCGTGCTGCACACCGCCCAGTTTGGCACTGAGGCTGGGTTCTCAGTGGAATTTGCTGGCTCGGCCCCATCAGGACTGGGAGGAGAGTGGTGGAATGTGCTGTGCCTGTGGTGGGCTAGCTGCAGCCAGAGGGGTCCTGCCCCACGCTGCTGCCCTCCCTTCATCGGCTGGACCTGCTCCAGCACAAAGAAAAGGTATTGGCTTAGTGTCCCTTCTTCCCAGGGCCATGAGGGAGCTTTTTGTCAGAATGTATTTGCACTGTCCTGGTAACCTGGACATGTTTATAAAGGAAGCAGTCTGGAGGTGAGCGGCCTCCAATTCTTTGCCACAGAATCTGAGCTTGTACTTTGCAGCCAGTCGGTTATAGCTGCTAAATTTGCTGTACCTGGTGTGCCTCTTGGCACTACCTGAGAGAGAGATGAGAGGCTGCTAAGAAATGAGTGCCCCTGGCTTGAAGATGTCATATCCCAGATGTTTAAACTTCTGGCTGGAGGGAGGGAATTTAATTGGTTCATTATCTACCCAGCCCTTTTCCTGTGTAGACAGGAGGAAAATCTGGATCGGTGACTCATCAGCATTTTCTGTGGTGAGCTTTCCCTTTTAAAAAAGATATCCAGAATGTTGCTTACTTCTTTGGTTCACACTTCTTAGCATTCTTTTTCTAGAGAAATCAGCTTTAAAGAAAATAAAGATGGGGGGCCTTAAAAATGAACCACAAGTCTGGATCGGTGTTGCATCTGCTTCATGGTTCATGAAAGTGGTGTGGAGGTGGCTACTTTGCCACCTCCCTGAAAAACCCCCAGAATATTCTAGAAGCAGAAGTCTGACCTCTTTGAGTACAGAGAGTAACTAGAGGGAGCAGACCAAACCCTCACCCCAGATAAGGCAGTCAGTACTGTGACCTTTAGGCCCATGGTTCATTTCAGCCTGTGATGTATCTGTAAATATTAAGCTTTACTCAACTCCAGGTTTCCTAGAAGCCAGTGCAGTGAGCCTGGTGGCTGTACTGAATGGCTCTGCTGGCACCCAGGAGCAGCTGATTCCACTCTGTCACTGCCCCCCTTGTTTCTGAGCCTCCTCATGAAGGTTCTGGGAGGAGCCAGCCCCCCTATGAATGGTATCACTTGTGAAAGGCAAGTATAGATGGAGATTTGACTTCAGGACCTCCCTGGATGGTGGAGATTGTGTGTGCATGGACACACATTCTTCACCAAATGAAGCAGTAACCAGCTGGAACAGAACACTGATTGTGGGCTATTAAAGGAGTTTCTCATTAGCTATGGCACCAGATTCCTGGCTTCCATTTTGGCTCAAAAATGAGCCTAAAACCCACTTGTGGGATAATTTAATAAGCCATTAGATGCTTAGAGGGCTCTGAGCCAGTGCTGTTGCTGAAGGATTTACTAGAAAGGGCCCAGGAGCCCTTCTTCCCTTTTTGCTTGTCCCTCCCCCACCCCCCAGTTAATTTAACTCTCACTATAAAGCGGCTATAAACCACAATCCAGGTTTTTATTCATAAGGCACCAGGGTAGGACTGTTCCTTGCCACCCTCCTATTTCAGTAGTAGCCTGAATTTCCCTGAAAGGGTGGCACACTTTACTTCTCTACACTGAGGAGGGACAGTGCTACTCAACAGCAGATGACTGTCCCTGAGGATGCAACAGACAAGGAAGCCAGGCATCCTGGCTCGGACCATGAACTAGTCCAGTAGGGTTTGCATAGCTGTTGGACTACAAAAATTGCATGGGTATCAGTTGAAACAGTGCAATGAAATAAGCAATGGTTTAGTTTTGAAACCTGAATCCTTTAAAAAAAATTAATCTGAGGTAAATGTTTAAAATCATTTTTGACCTTTTGCTTTTGTCCTAAAGCTGAGAGTAGAAGCAGGATTAGGTGTGGTCATCTGTGGCAAGGATACAGCGGCCCTGCCACGTGGGCTGAAGCTACAATGGGTACACTGTGTGAGAATCCAGGGCTTGTTAGTGTTTCGGGCTTCCTGGTGACCCCCCCCCCTTCTCGTAGAAAGTCTGTCATCAGCTGTGACAGTGTCAGTGAAAAAGAGAACAAGTTTCCACTGCCAGGTCCAGCCCTCACCCCACCCCTCCTCTAAGAGTGATGGGGACTGGTCTTAGGGACCTGGGGCAGGAGCTAGCGGCTAACAAGAACTACATCTGTAAACAGTGAGGAGAAAGTCAGGTGCTGGGTGAAACTTACAGAAGGCCCTTTAACAGGCCTAATAGAAGGGTCACATCCAAACTGGAACGAGCAGTTAACAGTGTCCCTTAAATCTCTCTCTGGAAGGAAGGAAAGATCGTTACATTCACAAGTTCACATCTCTGCTTGTGCTCCTTGGGGGCAGCTGTACAGGCCTGGGACTCCTCCCTGGTCAGAGAGGTGTGTATTGATTGTCTATGGCCCGCAGGTGGCTCCGGGAGGATGAGTCCATTTCGTAGTCTGAGTCCCGGGCTCGTCGTTCAGGCTCCGGCTCCAGGTGCCGCAGGCTGTTGGCCAGTTCCTCGGGTGAAGGCACCAGGTGGAAGATCTGCTCTGGCGGTGAGGATCGGCCTGGGAGACCCTCTGGGCTGAGCCCCCGGGGACACCCAGAAGAGCTAAGGTGGGGAAGGCCCAGCTCTGAATCCCAGCGAGGGAGGGAGAGAGGGAACAAGACAGTGTTGCAGGAACCTGGGACAAGTGACCGAGAGAGACCACGCTGTCAGTCTTGATGAAGATCTCCATAGCCCTTGGTCTGCAGAAAGGTTTACCCTCCACCCACTTTCCCTGTGCCACCCACCCCCTTTAGCGAAGGGCATTAGGGTCACACCTGGTGGCTGGGAGACAACTACCACGTAGCTGGAGAGCCGGACGTCACAGGCAGCGCCGCACTCGAGCGGGATGGGGGAGCGCTGGAAGTGGTGGAGCATGTCCACGACCGAGGGAAAGTGGAGGTGCTGCACTCGGCACTGACCCCGCTCGGTCAGCGACAGGCGCAGGTGCTGCGGGAGGAGATGAGGGTAGGCTCAGACCGTCTCCCGAAGGCCCTGGACTCCAGTAGGGAGGGGTGGCCCAGCCCTCCATGCCCTGCCCCATACCTTGGCTATGCCCTGGAAGTTGAACGTGAGCACATACTCCCCACGCCGTGTCTCGCTCTGCCGCACCAGAAACACTCCGTGAGCATCTGGGCCCTGCAGCTGAACCAGCTGGGCTGCCTTCACTCTGGAGATGGGGCCGTGGAACCAGGGGTAGCAGGACAGGAAGTGATCTGTTTTCTGGCAGGCTGGATCCAGCAACCCCCCAGGAGAAGCACCTGGTAGAGAAGATCGGTGATGGTGACCCCATGGAGGTGCCTTATGTCCTAGGCTGGGTTCCAGTGCACCCAAAGGACCATGGCCTGGCCACTCACCTTGGTTCAGAGAATCTGTGCTGCCCCTTGGGGAGCTGGACGTGCCAGGGTCCAGGGCTGAGGGAGTGTGCGTCTCTGCATCTGTGCTCTCCAGCCTGCCGGAGAAGAGGCTGGGGTCAAGGATCTGGGCAGGTCAGGGGTAGCCGTAAAGGTGGTGCCGGGGGTGAGGGTCTCACCCTCGGCCTGTGCACTCCCAGAGCTCGGCCATCCACGAATTCAGCTGCTGCTCGTCTCCCACCTCAAAGATGATGTCTGTCCGGTCCTTCACCTGGCACAGAAGGAAGGGCACAGCCGTGTGGGTCTGAGGGGTGCTGGCATGTCAGCCCAGGCTGTGGAAGCCCTGCCACTCACCTTCAGCACAAAGGTGTAGAGGTTGTCGGGCATCTCCAGCTGTGTGCACCGCCGGACCTCCTGGATGCTGGAGCACGCTGCTTGCAGCTTGGCCTTTGAACTCTACAAGACCGAGAGGGGCGCTCAACTCGAGGCTGGTCCCTGACGTTCTTCTCCCACCCAGGCCTCTGAGTTTGTCTCCAGTCTCCCCAAGACCCCCCTGCAGAGTAAGTGTTCCCAGTGCTGCTGAGTAGACCCTCGGAGCCTACAGCGAGGCCCCAGAATGCCCTTCGCCTGCGACCTCTTCAGCACCATCCACAGAGATCGCAACAAAGCTTCCCAGCCCCCTGCACCTGTGGACATTCCAGCTGTGACATGTGCTTGCCTGCTGCCGTCCGTTTCTCTTCCCACTGGTGGAGAAAGGAGCTCCCTGCCCAGCCAGGTGACACTCACATTGCCCAAAGGGCAAAGCCTAGTGTGCCCGGCCCAAGTAACTGCCAGCCACAGATGGAACTACAAAACCTCGGCCCCAGAATCTCCCAAGACATCCACCACAGGGCTGCAGCGTGGGTAGAGTGAGCCTCTGACCCCCTCGCCAGCAGAAGCACCTCTTCGGGTCCTGGCTGGACCTGGCTGCAGTGGGGGCTAGCCCTGTAGATGCTTCCTGCTCTGGGGCACCCTGCAACCCAGGAGCCAGCTGCTTCTGGGCAGGAATTTTCTCAGAAGGGGGGCTGTCCCCACTCCTGTCCTCTACTTCCTCTTGTGATAAGACTGATAAGATTGTTTCGCCAGGGTCACAAAATGACTGATGGCTGCTTCCAGCAGAGGCAAGATAAGAAAGGGGGAAGGAGCCCAAGATAGGTGGGGAATGGACAGAGATGGCCCAACTGGGCCCCTCCTCCAGGGATCCTGGACGATACCACCACCGCTAACAGCCAGGGAGAGGAGGGGCGGAAACCCGAGGCGGGCCCAAAGGCATGTTCCTTTCTTGGCACTGGCAGCTGCGAGTGATCTGGACCTCCACGTCTAGCCCAAAAAGGCACATCTTGAACAGAGCCTACGTTTCCAAAAGATGGTACCCAAAATCATAAGCTTAACTTTGCTGTGAACACAGAGGTACCAGACACTCTGATAGAAGGGGCCCACCCCCAGCAGGTTGGGGGAGACTAGTTCTCAGGACTGCTGACGTTTACCGTGGCTCATGGCATCACCTCACTGCTGGCAGGCAGGAGCGAAGGAGCCTTGAGGCTGTGTGACCAGCACCAGCCGGGGCCTTTCACCCCCTGCTCGCACAGGTCCTGCAGCTGAGACGGGGCTGGGTCCAGTGGGCCCTCTGCTCTCTTGACCCTTTTCACAGTCATCCTGCCCCACAGAGCCTCTGTTTCCCCGCTGCAAAACGGGAAGGCACAAATAGCTACTTCCTTCTCCTGCTTTTCCAGTGGGCCCTGCCTGTCCCCCTGAGACTGGCTCCAGGCGTTGAGGATTACTGGGAGGAAGTAGGCCAGGGCCAGGAGGGGAACAGGCCTGGTCTCCCTTTCGGTTCCGCTCAGGGCCCAGTCCCCAACGTGAGCGCCGAGATTAACCAGCAAAGCCGCTGGTTTCGCTCTGACTGTGGTGCCCGCTGTGCCAGCTCCACCCCTTGCAGCTGAGGAACTGCTGAGCAGGCAGGCAGTGGTGAAAGAGGATTCCCCCTCCTCACCCACAGCCAGTCCCGCTGCCACCTGCCTGCTGGCTGAGCAAGAGTCGGGTTCTTCCCTGGCTCCCCACGGCACCTCTGCGCGAGTCCCCCCAGCACCAACCACTATGCTGCCTGAGAGCGTGGGCATCCTTGGGCCTCTCTGCCCAGGTTGGTGGGACGTATGAGAGGGAGTGTCTTACCCTCTAGGTTTTAGGGTTCATATATGGGGGGAGGCCAATGCCAGCTGTGGCTGCAACCCCAGCCTGGAGGGCCCAGAGCAGACTCGCAAGTGCTGGCTGGCGTGTGAAGGACCAGCAGATGCCAGTTGAGCTGTGTGGTGGGAGCTGTTACGGGGAGGCGAGCCTGACCCTTGGGGCTGGGTCAGCAGCTATGGAACAGTGGGGCCTTCCGGTTCCCCCTCTCACATGCCCACTGTTCCACCTGCTTCTAAGGGCAGGCCAGGCTGGCAAGCAGCTGCTGCCCAGATCCTTAGGGTTGGCTGATCAAATGGCCAAACTGTTTCAGGTATCTGTGGTATAGGCAGTATAATGCCACCCACCACATCCTGCAGCATCCACTTCTGGGGAACAGATCTCAGCCCCCAGCATTCAAACGGCTGGTTTCTGTTTGTTATGGCCATTCTGACTCCAGTGAGAATTCATTTCTTTCTTTGCTCTGGCTGCTAGGAAGCTCAAAGATGTGCACCAGCTTTGACACTGCCTCAGCAGTAAAGCTTGCATTGCTACACCTAACTTTGTCCCAGACTTTATAGTTTTCTTACCCTCTTGGTTTTAGGGGTTAGCCCTGACCCTGGTAAGCCTGGACCAGGGGCTCAGCATTCCTCCATGGCTTTGTTTTGTCATCTGTGAGGCAGAACTTGCTTCTCACAGGGTTGGTACGGTGATTGAGTACACTAGTGCAAGAGAAAGGCTTGACTAATAAGCAGCTGTCGTTACCTTCCCAGGCCAGTGAGTAAAGCCTGAGTCCACCACAGTGCTGACAGCACTAGGGCCCCCTCAGAGCAGCTGAGTGCTGGGCAGATGCCCACTCTCAGCCTCACAGAGCCGCTGTCCTTTTGTAGCATGCTCCTTGCCCATGCTGCGATGGAGTCACACCATCACAGTGTGACCGATGTACTTACCCTACCCACAGTAAAGGGAAAACAAATGTAACTGACGCTAAAATAAAACGTATTCCAGTGTGACTATGCAGACGGCACAACGTGAACTGCGCGGGTGCTTCTGGGTTTGCTGCGAAAAGACCAAGAATGTGAGGAAGCCAAAGGGCAGGGTGAGCCCTGCAAGGGTTTTGTGGTGAAAACTGGGCACAAAGTTCCATGTGCTTCTGCACAAGACAGAGCAGAATTCTGGCTCTGGGTTTGTATCTCTTGTCCCTTTGGAGAGACAGGTGAAAGGAGGGCGGCACGTACAGCTACGCCGGAACCCAGCAGTGCCAGTGCGCACGGGCCCCACCCCCGGCGCGTGTGAGCCCACCTGGAGGGAAGGACCTTCTTCACTCACTAGGCCTCACTTTCCCTCGGGCTGTCACCTGGAAACACTGTCTTGCAACCTGCTGCCACTTCTGTGTGCTAAGGGCCTGGGGACCTGCCTGGGCACAGATGTGCCACCACTCATCCCCTCGCGCACCAGGCACAGGGGCTGGCCAAGCCCTCACGGGGCTTCCGCTCTCGCGAGGCCGAGACAGGCCGGCTGGGCTGGGCGCAGCAGTGAGAAGCCACAGAGCTCTGGTGCTGCTCTCCAGGCACAGAGATGGCACTGCCAAGGCCCTGCGGTGGGGCGGCACACCAGCATGTCCCAGGCACGGCCTCCCACAGGAAGACTCCGGGAGGGAGGCACGCAGCGAGGTGGCACAGTCTGCTCTGTCCCAGAACTCACCGCGGGGCTGCGAGGCTGTGGGAGCAGCTGGGACTCACTGTAAGGTGGACGCCTGGACGTGCGTGCCCGCCTGCAGCTCACAGCACCTCCGGCAGAAGCAAGTCTGCTAGTTGTCCCTCCTCCACAGGAAGCCAGCGGGAAGGGGACAGTGCTTTAGGGCAGGAACCGAGGGGGAGGACAGCATCCAGTTCACACTCCAGCGGGTAAGGGTAGTCCGGGCCCTCACAACAGCCTTATTCCACACCAGCCAGCAGGGACAGCCTTGGGGAGAAGCCTCCCACCCCTTGGAATCCTCCAGGCCACGCCAGCCTCCTGGCAGTCTTATCTCCCCCAGGGCTTTTGAGCCCAGAACTCATCTCCTCAAACAACAGCAGTGGGACAGGAAGTGGGGCATGGCCCCACAGTCAGCCCTCCAGCCACACCTCTGCCGCACCCCTGCTCCCAGGGAGGCGGCCTGGAGCCTTGCTCTGCAGGTGGTTAGAGCAGCCCTGGCTCTACCACTTGATACCTTTGAGACCTCGGGCATGGCGCTCACTGGAGCCTGTTTCCTTTCATTAACGTAAAGAGGCCCCACGGTGGCTCATGCCTGTAACCCTAACACGCTGGGAGGCTGAACAGGGAGGATCGCTTGAGCCCAGGAGTTTGAGCTTGCTGTGAGCTAGGCTGACGATGCCACGGCACTCTAGCCCGGGCAACAGAGCAAGACTCTGCATCAAAAAAAAAAGGAAAAAAAAAAAAGACAGAATAAGCAGGTCAGCTAGGATGGGGGTGGTCTCAAAAGGCTCATAGGAAATTCCAGATCCCTATCATGGACAGCTGAGTCCCCCACACAGCCCAAAACATAGAATCATGGATGTTGCCTGGATAAATGAATAAATATGTTATGGGAAATACTTAATCCAATCTTACTGGTTGGTATCAAAAAGCCAATCTTAAAAAAAAAAAAAAAAAAAAAGAAAATGCCCTGCCTTGTCCCCAAAAAAGATTGTAGTCAGGTTATAGAAATACCCAGAAAGAGTTGGGAAGGAGACAGCTGCTTAAACACAGCCCAGAGTCCTACTTGTCACAAATTTGCCTGTCAGCTTCCTGGCAGCCAGTGCAAAGAGGGATTCTTCAAGATAGGACATTTTCGTGCATGGAGAATCATACTAAACAGCAGTCCATTAAAGGCTCTGAAAAGTCCTACAGCAGAGACATGCACAGAACCACGTATTCCCCAGATCTAGGCCTCTCACAGACAATACTACCGTCTCAAGGTCATATGGAGTTGAAGTAAGGAAGGCCCTCATCTTACAAACTCTTCCTAATCGTGGGCCATTCTCTGAGGTGGGCAGCATCAAGATTGAGCCAGGAGTTGGCAGCCATCCAGTATCCTGCCCAGAAACCCCTCAGGTCCGTGTAACCACCATGCAGCAACCTCCCCACTCTGGAGTTTGGGACTCTTGGTCCTGGGCTTGAGTCCCAACTCTCCTCTTAGACGAAAGACTCGCCTCTCCCGACCCCAGTCTCCACTTTCGTGAAGCGGGAAAACAGTGCCACAACCCTCCCCA